GGGCACCATCTAGCTGTACTGGACTCAGTCTGGTGGAGGCCTTGGTAACTGTGGTCCATTAGTCCTTTGGACTAATCTTTTCCTTGTATCCTGTTCTCTTCATTCTCCCTTGCTCCCAAAGGGGTGAGACCAGTGGCATATCGTAGACGGTACTTTTTATTTTTTATTTTATTGTTGTACTTTAAGTGAAAGTTTACAATTCAAGTTAGTCTCTCATGCAAAAATTTATACATACATTGTTATGTGACCCTAATTGCTCTCCCTATACTATGACAGCAGACTCATCCTTTCCACTCCGGATTTCCCATGTTCATTGAAACAGCTCCTGACCCTGTCTGACTTCTTATCTCACCTCCAGTCCGAAGCTGCCCATTTAGTCTCATGTGTCTACTTGAGCTAAGAAGCACACTCTTCACAACTATCATTTTATGTCCCATAGTCCAGTCTAATCTTTGTCTGAAGAGTTGACCTCCAGAATGGTTTTAGTTTTGGGCTAACAGAGAGTCTGGGGGCCACGTCTTCTGGGGTCCCTCCAATCTCAATCAAACCATTAAGTCTGGTCTTTTTACTAGAGTTTGAGTTCTGCACCCCACTTTTCTGCTGCTCCATCAGGGACTGTCTGTTGTGTTCCTTGTCAGGGCAGTCATTGATGGTAGCCAGACACCATCTAGTTCTTCTGGTCTCAGGCTGATGCAGTCTTTGGTTTATGTGGCTCTTTCTGTCTCTTAAGCTAATACTTTCCTTGTGTCTTTGGTGTTCTTCATTCTCCTTTACTGCAGGTGGGTTGAGACCAATTGATGCATCTTAGATGTCCGCTCGCTAGATTTTAAGACCCCAGACACCACTCATTAAGTAGGTTGCAGAACATTTTCTTAATAACTTTGTTATGCCAATTGACCTAGATGTCCCCTGAAAGCATGGTCCCCTGACCCCTGCCCCTGCTACTCTGTCCCTCCCAGTGTTTGGTTGTATTCAGGAAACCTTTTAGCTTTGGTTTAGTCCAGTGGTGCTGACATCCCCTGTAGTGTGTGCTGTCCTTTCCTTCATGGAAAATAATTCTTGTCTACTTTCTAGTTAGTGAATAACCCTCTTCCTCCCTCCCCACCCTCGTAACCATCAAAGAATGTGTCCTTCTGTGTTTAAACCTTTTCTTGAGTTCTTATGATAGTGGTCTTATTCAATATTTGTCCTTTTGCGACTGACTGAATTCACTCAGCATAATGCCTTCCAGATTCCTCTATGTTATAAGATGTTTCATGGATTCATCGTTGTTCTTTATTGTTGCATATAGTATTCCATTGTGTGAATATACCATAATTTGTTTATCCATTTGTCCATTGGTGGGCATGTAGGTTGTTTCCATATTTTTGCTCTTGTGAACAGTGCTGCAGTGAACATGGGTGTGCATATATCTATTTGTGTGTCTTTTAGCAGTTTATTTACTTATTTTTAATTTTTTTTTATTGTACTTTAGATGGAGGTTTACAGAGCAAATAGTTTCTCGTTAAACAGTCAGTACACATATTGTTTTATGACATTGATTAACAACCCCACGACATGTCAACACTCTCCCTTCTTGACCTTGGAGGACCTTTTTTTTTTTTTGTGAAAATATGCATAGCCAAAGGTACACCATTTCAAAAATTTCTACACGTACAATTCAATGACATTGATTACGTTCTTCTAGTTGTGCTGCTATTCTCACTATCCTTTTCCAAATTATTCCATCACCACTATGTTCAACTCGCTGCCCCCTAGGCTTCCCATCAAACCATCTGAGCTGCTGCTGTCAATTTGATCTCACACAGATAATTTTTTTTTTTTTTTTTTGTACCTTAGACGAAGGTTTACAGAACAAGTAGTTTCTCATTAAACAGTTAGTACACATATTGCCCTATGACAATGGTTAACAACCCCACGACATGTCAACACTGTCCCTTCACAACCTTGGGTTCTCTATCACCAGCTTTCCTGTCCCCTCCTGCCTTCTAGTCCTTGTCCCTGGACTGCTGTGCCTCATTAGTCCCATTTGGTTTTATGGGGCTGTCCACTCCACGGCTGAACGGTGAACCTCGGAAATGACTTCACCACTGAGCTAAAAGGGTGTCCAGGGGCCATCCTCTTCGGGTTTCTCCAGTCTCTGTCAGGCTAGTAAATCTGGTGTTTTTTTGTGAGTTAGAATTTTGTTCTACATCCTTCTCCAGCTCGGTCCAGGACCCTCTGTTGTGATCCTGGTCAGAGCAGTCAGTGGTGGTAGCCGGGCACCATCTAGCTGTACTAGAGTCAGTCTGATGGAGGCCATGGTAGCTGTAGTCTGTTAGTCCTTTGGACTAATCTTTTCATTGTATCCTGTTCTCTTCATTCTCCCTTGCTACCGAAGGGGTGAGACCAGTGGAGTATCTTAGATGGCTGCTCACAGGCTTTTAAGACCCCAGACCGTAGCAAACTTCTGCTTTGTATTGATGCAGAGTCCTGGACCCAAGAGGGTGTCCTTCCCCTTCTCCATGTGCAGCATCTATCCTTTTCCCTAAAGTAGTGTATCTTTGCCTGATTGCTAAGAGTGGGAAGGGATGTTTCCTACCACTGTTTTGCTTCTACCCCTTTCCTGTTGGCCCTGAAGGTGAGAGGGTTTGCTGTCCCTTTCCCAACAGTTTCAGGCTTTTCCTTCACATGAGAAGGATCCAGGGAAGTTGGTGGTGTTTCTTGTCTGCCCCCCAACAGCAGCCAATCACCTCCTGCACTCCTGCTCCACTGAGCTTTCTTTGGTGTCCTGCCTGCCCCTCATCTTTCTAATGGGCCCAGTGGAAGACTGGAGAAGAGCTTGTGAGTGAATGTAAATTTCTCTTGTGTCTGGGGCTCCCAGTTATTCTAAACTGATATCCTAGCCCAATCTTAGCCTTCAGGAATTCACACAGTTTATGTGTCCCATCTCTCCTCAGGGGGCATTGTCAGTATTTGGAATTCAGTTCTTTTGGTTGCATTGTAACCTCAGCTCTCTGATGGGTTCAAGAAAAATTATTTTATAGATTTTCCAGTTCTTAATCTCGTGTCTATTTATATCCTAAGTGGAAGCAGAACTCCAACTCTATGCTACTAAGTGGCAGTTTCTCAAATGAATCCCCAGGCTTTTATGCATATACTTCTTTTAAGGGCTAGCATTATTGTTTATTAACTGCTTTTTTATTGTTTATTCTCATTCTGCAAATGGATATCCTTGATGTAAAAAATAGTAATTTGCCCCTTAAATCTGTATTAATCTTTGATAGTATACACTCCTATTATGAACATATTAAATTTTCATGATAGTGTAGTCAAAATGGCAGTTGTAGTTGGAGATGTTAGATCTCTGTGTAACAGAAAAAATACATCTACACTCTCTTTTTTCTATCCTAAGTGGTAATAAGGTTGCCTCTTTATACAGTAATTATCAATACCCCATTAAAAGAAAGCTAAATATGTTTTAAGTAAAATGATAAACTTACTACAGCGTAAAAGAATTAAGTAAGGGTCATGCTTAGTGAAAACTGCTCTGCTCAGCAGCTGCTGGGAGAACTGGTCCTAAGTCATGGGTGTCATGGAGGCCAAGATTCTTCAAGAGATGAAGCTGTGCATATGCTGTCTGTGCAGGCAGAGCACTGCAGAGGGCAGGGCCTCCTGTAGGGAGAGCCCTTGGGCCATACTCCCCAGTTAGGCCACAGTTCAGTCTCAGGGGCCTCCTCCCTCAGTCTCCTGTAGTTGTCACTCCCCTCCCCACCCCCACACACTGGTGAATGGCTCCAGGGCTCCACTTTGGCACCAACAATGCTTGTCTTGTAGGTTCTGTTACCATTTACTGAGGAAGAATTTGGCAGATTGTAACTCAAGTAGTTTATGAAGAGTTAAGTAGCACAGAATGGATGTGCTTTTGAACTGCAAAGCTAAGTAGTATGTTTCTGTTTCAGGAAGTTTTTACTGTAAGCGTTGGGAACTTACCCCCTAAGGCTAAGGTTCTTATCAAAATTACCTATGTCACTGAACTCGGTGTCCAAGGCACTGCTGCTGTCTTCTTCATGCCTGCCACTGTGGCACCCTGGCAACAAGACAAAGCATTGAATGAAAACGTTCAGGTTAGTGTGCTTAAGACAAGATTTAAAGAAGCATTTCTTGGGATTTATGTAAAGGGAAGAAAAAAATATCCAAATAATCTAATCTTTTTGGCATAAAATCAATTTTACTGGAAGTTATAGCATATAGATACATATATTGTTTGTAACATGAAAAGAATAAAGGACACAGATATGCTTAATGGCTATAATATTCTTATTCTGTTCAATTACCTAAAAAAATTTATATCTGCAGTATATGTGCATCATGAAGAATTTAGGTAAGCATTCTTGTTAGTTGCCATGGAGTTGGCTCTGGCTGATGGCCACCCCATGTACAACAGAACAAAACATTGCCCTGTCCTGCCCCCTCTTCATGAATGTTGGTATGCCCAAGTCCATTGTTGTGGCCACAGTGTGTTCTGAGTGCCTTCCGACCTAGGGGACTCATCTCTCAGCACTATATCAGAAAATATTTTCTTGTGATCCATAGGGTTTTCATTGGCTAATTTTAGGAAGTAGATTGCCAAGCCTTTCTTCCTATTTTAGTCTGGAAGCTCTGCTGAATCCCGTCCACCATGGATCACCCTGCTGGTATTTGAAATACTGATGGCATAGCTTCTAGCTGTACAGCCACACATAACCCACCACAGTACAAAATAAACTGACAGACAGGTAGCAGTGGTAAATAAGCATAGAGAATGTAAATTAGCAAAAGAGGAAGGTAATAACCATCCTTAGTTCTGTCATCCAGAGATAACTACTGGTTAATGCTTTGGTATCTATCCTTCCAGACTTCTTAGTACGTATTTATTTATATAAATTGTATGTGTATGTATATATGTGCATATGTGTGCATACACACACACATATACATATATACATACACACACGTAGTTGAAAATCTTTGTCAAAATGGCCATAAATTATCCCCCATATTGTTTTATTTTAGAAGTTACTGTCATTCCATAAGCAAATGCTACTGTGGCCTTGCTTAGATTGTATTCAGCTTAGAGTCTCATCATGAAACCTAATAAGTACTTAATTATATATTTTTTTCTTTTTACAGGATACAGTAGAGAAGATTTGCATCAAGGAAATAGGGACAAAGCAAAGGTTAGTACCTAAGATATAAAATCTGTCAATTAATCATTCGATGACATTAGTTTCATTGTTAAAATTTCATTTAAAATTATTTGAAGCAACTAAAAGTAGACCTTTAAGATACTAGACTAAGACAATTTTCTCTTCATCTTCGATAGCTTCTCTTTGAGTATGTATATTGAGATGCCGTACGTGATTGAATTCATTTCTAGTGATACACATAAACTAAAACAAAAGGTTAGTAAATTTTTTTCTTTCTTAAGAACTCTTATTTTAAAATTACTTTTACTTTATCAAAGCAATGCATGCACATAGTTTAAAATGTCAAATAATACTAACAGCAACTTTTAAGAAAAAGGAGTCCCATTCAGCCCCTGCTTGGCCCCTCCCAGCACCCAGAGACTGAACCACTTTAGAATATAACTATTTCTTCTGGTATTTACTCCATAGTTTTAAATGAAAAAGTTTTTACTTCTGTTACTTGAGTCATCTGTTTCAGAATTCTTATTATAATTGTCCAAGTGAAAACACTAGACTGACACTCTGCTAGAAATTGTAACAAAGAATGGTGTTGAAGAAAAAAAGACAAATAAGATCATTTCGTGAAATGGAGAATCAGATGCGCATTCAAACAAGAGGCATCATGTGTTCTGGCTTGCAGTGAGGTGTTTATCAGGCAGAGCAAACAAAGGCAAAATGGATTCACATCAAGGGGGAGTACAGGGTAAGGAAGGGAAATTTACAAGGGGTTGTCAAACGCCAAACTTGCCTAACATCAGTTTCTAGCCTAACATCAATCTCTTCTTTCTCGATACAAATTGACTAAGGCAATTTTTCTAAAGCAAGCAGTGTAAACATTCTTGATGTGGGAATTTAGTGATTTCAACCCTAGTTGGAGTCCTTGAAATGTAAAAGTTGACCATTTGGGTAGGAAGGAGATTATATCAGCTCATACTTGAAACCTTGCCCATCTGGCTAGGAGGAAGTGAGTTAGGGCCTAGGCATTCACCAGATGAATTGCCCAAGAGAAGTTAAGATAGCAAGATTATTTACCTGAGCTAAGGCCCAGATCTCTGTACAATTTGTGTCACAAACAATTGAGACCTTCACAGGAAGCCAACTTGTCTTTTGAAGAAGGCAGAGGCAGGCTTCAAACCTAGTTTCAGCTTAATGTAAAACAGAATTTCAATTTAGGTCTGGGATTAACCATTTCAATAATGCCAAGTAGCCCCAGTTTTTGTTTTTTGTTTTATTTTGTTTTTTTGTACTTCAGGTGAAGGCTTACAGAACAAATAGTTTCTCATGAAACAGTAGTATGCATATTGTTTTATGACATTGGTCAACAACCCCACAGCATGTGAACCCTCTAACTTCTCAACCTTTTTTTTTGGTGAAAATACACATAGCCAAAGATACACCATTTCAAAAATTTCTACATGCACAGTTCAGTGACATTGACTATGCTCTTCCAGTTGTGCTGTTATTCTCACTTAAGATGAAGGCTTACAGAACAAAATAGTTTCTCATTTAACAGTTACTACAAATGTTGCCCTATGACAGTGGTTAACAATCTCACAACACATGAACAATATCCTTACTCATCCTTGGGTTCCCTATCACCAGCTTCCTTGTCCCCTTCTGCCTTCTGGCCCTTGTCACTGGACTCCTGTACCTCGTTAGTCTCATTTGGTTTTACGGGGCTGTCCACTCCCAGGCTGAATGGTGAACCTTGGAGATAACTTCACCACTGAGCTAAAAGGGTGTCTGGGGGCCATACTCTCAGGGTTTCTCCAGTCTCCTTTAGGCCAGTAAATCTGGTCTTTTTTTTGTGAGTTAGAATTATGTTCTACATCCTTCTCCAGCTCTGTCCAGAACCCTCTGTTGTGATCCTGGTCAGAGCAGTCAGTGGTGGTAGCCGGGCACCATCTAGCTGTACTGGACTCAGTCTGGTGGAGGCCTTGGTAGCTGTGGTCCATTAGTCCTTCGGACTAATCTTTTCCTTGTATCCTGTTCTCTTCATTCTCCCTTGCTCCCGAAGGGATGAGACCAGTGGAGTATCTTAGATGGCCACTCACAGGCTTTTAAGACCCCAGACACTACTCACCAAGGTAGAATGTAGAGCATTGTCTTTATAAGCTGTGTCATGCCAATTGAGCTAGATGTTCCCTGAGACCATGGTCCCCACAGCCCTCCGCCCAGCACTTCAGTCCCTCAGGGTGTTTGGATGTGTCTATGGGGCTTCCATGACCTTTCCTTGTACAAGTTGTGCTAGTTTCCCCTGTATTGTGTACTGTCTCACCCTTCACCCAAGATACCACTTATCTATTGCCTATTTAGTATTTCCCCCCCACCCCTCCCATCCCTGGTAACCAACAAAGATTGTTACATTTTGTGTGTGAACTTTTGCATGGGTTTTACAATAGAGGTCTCATACAATATTTGTCCTTTTGTGATTGACTTATTTCACTCAGCATCATGTCCTGCAGTTTCATCCATGTTATGAGATGGTTCACAGATTCATTGTTGTTCTTTCTGATTGCATAGTACTCCATTGTGTGTATGTACCATAGTTGGTTTATCCATTCATCTGTTGATGGGCATCTAGGTTGTTTCCATCATTTTGCTGTTGTGAACAATGCTGCCATGAACATAGGTGTGCATATGTCTATTCGAGTGACGACTCTTATTTCTCTAGAATATTTTCCTAGGAGTGGAATTGCTGGATTGAATGGTATGTCTATTTCTAGCTTTCTGAGGAAGCACCATATCATTCTCCAAAATGGTTGTATCATTTGCAGCCCCAGTTTTAAGGTTTGCTTATTCAGAATAGACGAGACTTTAGCTCTCTTCCCCCTTCACTTACCTCGTTCCTCATTTTTTCTCTCCCCTTATCCCAGAATAGTTATATCACAATTTTGGTTAAAGCCATAGTCAGTGTTCAAGTTATTATGACTATGTTAATACTGCTTACAGTTGAGCCAAGAACTGTATTATGATTACATATTATATCTTCATATAGTGATTCCTGAAGAAAAAGGTCTTTTCATTTACTTAGTTTTCTAGGGATTATCCATATTTCTTCTCATATGCTCTAATACATTGGTAAAGACCCCTCTCAATACTATCTTTCACACTGTTAAATGCTTCAAATAATTCATCAATTTATTTTTTCCTTAGAGACCTCCCTCCCTTCCATCTTTCTGCTCCACTTGGCCTGGTTACTGTTTGGCAGCCTCCCTTTACTGTTTTTTTTTTTTTTTTAAGCCTTTTTCCTATTTCTTGTTTTAGTCCTTCAGTTTTGCAGAGCACACTTTCCATTAACTTCCTGAGTAAGAATGCGTGGGCAGTAAAGTCTGACAATATCTTGCTTCTACATGCTGCACTGGTTCATGTGATGGGGTATAGAATTCTGAGTTGGAAATCATTTTCTCTCAGAATATTAAAGGCATTGTCTTCTAGCTTCCAGTATTACTTTGAGAAGTTCAGTGATATTCTTAGCCCACAGTGTTTGTATACGGTCTTTTTTTTTTTTTTTTAATTTCTTTATGAGTTCCAGATCTTCTCTTTATTCCTGGTATTTTGAAATTTCATAATAATGTGAGCTTCATTCATCATTCATGACTCATAGCCTTTTTTAATTGTTGTCATCGAGTTGGTTCCAACTCAGTGACCCTATGTACAACAGAACAAAACACTTGCCTGGTCCTGTGCCATTTTCACAATCGTTTCTATGTTTAAGCCCATTGTTGCAGCCACTGTGTCAGTTAATCTCATTGAGGGTCTTTCTCTTTTTTGCTGATCCTGTACTTTACCAACCCTGGTACCTTCTCCAGGGACTGGTCCCTCCTGATAGCTTGCGCAAAGTATGTGAGACTAAGTCTCGCCATCCTTGCTTCTAAGGAGCATTCTGGCTGTACTTCTTCCAAGACAGATGTGTTCGTTTTTCTGAAAGTCTATGGTATATTCAGTATTCTTTGCCAGCACTGTAATTCAAAGGCATCAATTCTTCTTCGACCTTCCTTTTTCATTGTCCAGCTTTCACATGCATATGAGGTGTTTGAAATTACCGTGGCTTGGGTCAGGCACACCTTAGTCCTCAAAGTGACATTTTTGCTTTTTAACACATTAGGAGGTCTTTTGCAGCAGATTTGCCCAATGCGATATGTCGTTTGATTTTTTGACTGCTGTATCCCTGGGCATTGATTGTAGGTACAGGTAAAACGAAATCCTTGACAACTTCAATCGTTTCTCCGTTTATCGTGATGTTGCTTATGGGTCCAGTTGTGAGGATTTTTGTTTTCTTTATGTTAAGGTGTAATCCATACGGGAAGGCTTTGATCGTCATCATTAAGTGCTTCAAATCCTCTTCACCTTCAACAAGCAAGGTTGTGTAATCTGCATATCATAGGTTGTTAACGAGTGTTTCTCTAATCCTGGTGCCAGCTTCTTCTTCATATAGTCCAGTTTCTCAGATTATTTGCTCAGCATACAGATTGAATAAGTATGGTGAAAGGGGACCATCCTGACACATACCTTTCTTGGTTTTAAACCATGTAGTATCCGCTTGTTCTGTTCAAACAACTGCACCTTGGTCTATGTACAGGTTCCTCATGAGCACAATTAAGTGTTCTGGAATTCCCATTCTTCACAGTGTTATCCATAATTTGTTATGATCCACACAGTCAATGCCTTTGCATAGTCAATAAAACACAGGTAAACATCTTACTGGTTTTCTCTGCCTTCAGCCAAGATCCATCTGACATCAGCAGTGATATCCCTTGTTCCACGTTCTCTTCTGAATCCAGTTTGAATTTCTGGCAGCTCCCTGTCGATGTACTGCTGCAACTGTTTTTGAATTATCTTCAGCTAAATATTACTTGCGTGTGGTATTAATGATATCATTCGGTACTTTCTGCATTCTGTTGGATCACCTTTCTTTGGAATGGGCACAAATATGGATCTCTTCCAGTTGATTGGCCAGGTAGCTGTCTTCAGAATTTCTTGGCATAGACAAGTGAGCATTTCCAGTGTTGCATCCATTTGTTGAAATATCTCAATTGGTATTCTGTCTATTCCTGGAGCCTTGTTTTTTCACCAATGCCTTCAGTGCAGCTTGAACTTCTTCCTTCAGTACCATCAGTTCTTGATCATATGCTGCCTCCTGAAATGGTTGAACATTGACCAATTCTTTCTCCATGGCCTTTAGTTGTGGGAAATTTTATTATAATTTTAAAAGA